GATCACAAGGGCTGGCTGATTTGGGGAGGAGATGCTGGAGATGCAGTTTAAGTGCTCCAAGTTGGGAGATGTGAAGTACTGCTTGGGGATGCATGTGGAGAGGGACCTTGACAAGGGAGTGTTGATGTTGCACCAGAGGAAGTATTGTGAGTGGCTGGCCAAGAAGTATGGGCTGCAAGATGGAGGAAAGCCAGCCACCCTACTGCCTTCGGGGTTCTCTGTGGAGCCCTGTGCTGATGAGGAGGTGGTGGGTGAGAGTGACAGGAAGCTGTTTCATTCCATGGTTGGGGCACTCACCTATGCGGCTAACCACACGCGGCCTGACATTGCCTTTGCTACATTCAGGCTTGCCAGTGTGGTCTCACGCCCCAGTCATGAGCAGCTGGAAGCGGCCAAGAGGTTGGTCCACTATGTGAGCGCTACAGCATCAGTGGGTTTGGAGTACAGTGTTGTGCGACAGAGGCTGCAAAGGGGTGCAGCTGAGTTGACCAAGGGGGAGATGCTCTTGACTTGCTACACCGATGCCAGCTTCAACTCTGTGAAGACGGATGGCACCAGCATTGGGGGCTATGTGTGCCTCTTTGGAGGTGGTGCAGTGAGCTGGTGCAGCAAGAAGCAGAACGAGGTGGGACAATCCTCATAGGAGACAGAGTATATGGCCCTGCATCATGGGGCTAAGGAGGTGATGTGGCTGAGGCATTTGTTGGAGGAGATTGGAGTCAGTCAGAGGGAGCCGACTGTGATGTTCTGTGACAATGAGTCCGCAGTGAAGTTAGCAAAGAACGCTTGTCTTCATGGGCTGACAAAGCACATCAGGCCCAAGTGGCACTAGGTGAGGAGGCTCCTGGACAAGGAGGTGCGGCTGGAGATTGTGAAGACCCATCAGCAGGCGGCTAACATTCTCCCCAAGCGCCTGGCTGAATCTGAGCATTGGAAGGGCATGAAGCTTGCTGGGATGAGGGTGCATTGAGGGTACATGATTGAGCTATGGCATGTGGGATGATGGTAGGCAGCAAGAGGGGGAGTTTGTCATGTGATGCTATCACTTGCATTCACGTCTGTCTGCCTCCCATCACATGTTCGTGCGTTGCATGCGTGGTGTGAGCGTGTGCAAGAATTTGTGTTTGATGTGGTTTGGTTTTTCTGAGTGTGTGTGAATGTTGTTTGGCTTGAGCAGATATCTGAAGTGCCTCCTTTGCTCAAGAGCTTTCCGACGAACCAAGTATCGCTTCAATCGGAGCACGAACAAGAAAGATACGAACGTTAGAAGTTCGTATGCTTTTGATATTTGGTTGTGGTGACTATGGGAAGTTGTGGGGTTGACTCCATAAGGGGTATATATTTTTGGGGGTTGTGAAATTCGTCAACATCACTGTAGATGCTGCCAAGTGGTTGGGAGAAGCCAAACCAGGTTGGCAAGTGTGGCCAAGTTGGGTAAGGTGGATGGCATGGGTTGGGAAAGTGACAAAAGTAAAAGTGGGAGGGGATTTTTGTGAGAATGGTAGACAGAGTTAGGAGCCATAGCTAGGTAAGCCCTATCTAGGCAAGAGAAAGTTTAGGCAAAGAAGAAGAGTTTCACTAGCAGCAATGAGGAAACATATAGCAAACCCTAGATGGGTTGTACCCGCTATAGAGCACCCCACTACAGGCTAGATTATAACATTCTGACACACCCCCATAGCCAAAGTGGGGTGTAATCAGCACAATGAGCAGGTATAGCAGGAGTTCACAACAGTAAGCAAAGCTAGAGTTAATCACAGCGGGCAAGTGAGGAGGATGAGGAACTGTGAAGGGAGAGAAGATGCGAGGCAACGACTGAAGCTGCAGAGGCACGGGCACAGGAGCGGCTGACTTAGTGGCTACCAAAGCAAGGGCGACGGACTACTGGAGTGACTGGCTCTGCGGCTATAGACGAGCGGCAGGAGCAACGGACCCACTGGCGACTGGTGCAACAGGCTCACTGGCTACCGAAGCAAGGGCGACGGACTACAGGCGCTGCAGGCGACACGACAGCTACGTTCACACAACCTCCTCCAACTGCCCCACACCCTCGACACAAACCCCCTGCTGAACCCTAGCTCCACTCCCACGGCACCCCCCTTAAACCCTAAACCCTAGGCTCCCACACACCCACCCCCTTGAGCGGCAGCTGCAGCAGTGGGAGACGAAGGAGGAGGAGGAGCAATGGGAGGAACTCACAACCGCCACCCCCACACCCACCACCCCCAAACCCTAACGCAGGTAGGAGCGCGGGAAGCAGTAGGGGTGGGTCACGGAGGGAAAGGGAGGCGGCGGCGGGTCTCCAGGGTGCCACGAAAAAGCAGGGCGCGGGCCCCTCGAGGGCGCCACAGCGGGTGATGGGAGGGGGGGCCGCGCACAGGCCCACGAGGGCGGCTCGACGGGCGACAGGAGGGGCCGCGCACGGGCCCCCAAGGCGCCGCGACGAGGCGACGGTTGGGGCCGGCGCGCGGGCCCCCAGGGCGCCGCGACGAGGCGACGGGAGGGGCCGGCGCGCGGGCCCCCAAAGCGCCGCGACGAGGCGACGGGAGGGGCCTGCGCGCGGGCCCCTAAGGCGCCGCGACGAAGGGACGGGAGGGGCCGGCGCGCGGGCCCCTAGGGCGCCGCGACGAGGCGACGGGAGGAGGGCGACGCGCGGGCCCCCAGAGCGCCACACGAAGTAAGAAACCGCCGCGCGCCTCGGGGCGCACGGCGGGCAGAAAACCGCCACGCGCCCCAAGCGCGTGGCGGGAAGAAAAATCGAAGGTCGCGCGCCACAGGGCGCGCGACACACAGTAGGGCAGCGGAAGCAGGTGGGCCCAGAGACTAGGAGCGTAACCGCTCTGATAGCATGTGCGAATAGTAGACAGAGTTAGGAGCCATAGCTAGGTAAGCCCTAGCTAGGCAAGAGAAAGTTTAGGCAAAGAAGAAGAGTTTCACTAGCTGCAATGAGGAAACATATAGCGAACCCTAGATGGGTTGTACCCGCTATAGAGCACCCCACTACAGGCTAGATTATAACGTTCTGACAATTTTATGTGCTTATGGGGTTTTCCCTGGTTGGGGACTCCTTGGGGACCTTCCCTCTCATCCTCCTCTTCCCTCCTACCTGGTTAGTGCCACTTCAACTTTCTTGTGTGAACTTGTGCGACTCTTGTGATAGAGTTAAGTTCCTATGGCGGCATACCCCTATGTGTGCCGAAATTGATAAGTCAAGATATGCTTCGTTTCTTGACACGATTCAACTTGGGAATTGTAGCTACGCTTTAGAGCTACAACATATCCAAAATTGGTGAAGTTTTGACAGTGTGTTTTTTGTCGACGGCGTTTCTTGTGAGCACAACGATTCTTTCCAAAATCCAACGATTTTTAGAAATTTAGGCACCTAATCTTCGTAGACTCCATCCTTAGTCTCTAACATTCCAGACAGTTGTACACTTGTTCTCTGGACCTGCTGGCAAAATCTTTAACTGTGGTTTTCTGTTTTATTTTGTGATTTCTATCGCATTGCTCAATATGTTGCAATACAGTGATGGGTTGAGTTACATGGCACATTTCAAGTCACGAACCAATTGGAGCTCTTCCACATCACCTTCTACTGCATCTCCTCTTTTAGCACCTTCAGACTACTTATCGACCCTCCTCTTCACACAACCCGTCATTTTTAAGTGCGTTTTCAACGCGTGATACCCACATAGGACAGCTACTACGAGAACAGCTCCTCCGCAATCGTCGCTAAGCCCAGTTTCCTGAAGCCTCTTGTGCACGCTTTGGGATTGAGTTCCTTTTCTTTTCACTGTTTGTCAGAACATATAGCTTGTGCTTATTGTGTAGGCTATAGTGGGGTAGCCCATAAGGGGTACAACCCAATTAGGGTTATTACTTGTACTCAGTTCATTCATAGTTCATTCATTCTCGTTTCTTCTCATGGTTTCAGAGCAGGTTCCCTAGTGGGAACGCTACCTAGGGCCCACCACGATTTTTTTTCCTGCCCGGAGTGCGCCTTAGACTAGACCGAGTCGCGCGCGCCCCGTGTGCCCTCCCTACCGGCGCGCCGCCCTTTGTGGCCCCTTGCGCTGCCCGTCCACCCCACGCGCCGCCCTAGCGGCCCCTCCTTGCGCCACCCGTCGACCCCGCGCGCCGCCTTAGCGGCTCCCTGCGCCGCCCGTCGACCACGCTTGCCGCCCTAGCGGCCCCCTGCGCCACACGTCGACCCCGCGCGCCGCCCTAGCGCCACCCCCCCCCCCCCCCCCCCCTTGCGCCACCCGTCGACCCCGCGCGCCGCCCTAGTGGCGCCTTACGCCACCCGTCGACCCCGCGCGCCGCCCTTGCGGCCTCGCCGCCCTTACCTGCGGCCCCGCCGCCCTCACCTGCGGTCCCCGCCGCCCTTACCTGCGGTCCCCGCCGCCCTCAACTGCGGCCTCGCCACCCTTACCTGCGGCCTCACCGCCCTCACCTGCGGTCCCCGCTGCCCTTAACTGCGGCCTCGCCGCCCTTACCTGCGGCCTCGCCGCCCTCACCTGCGGTCCTCGCCGCCCTCAACTGCGGCCTCGCCGCCCTTACCTACGACCTCGCCGCCCTCACCTGCGGTCCCCGCCGCCCTCAACTGCGGCCTCGCCGCCTTTACCTGCAGCCCAGCCGCCTTCCCTGCGGCCCCGACACCTGCTGCAGCGTCGCCCGCCACCTGAGCCGCCCGGGCCGCCTCACCTCGCCGAGCAGCCGACCGCCGCGCCGCCCTGCAGCAGCACGGCCGAGCCGCCCAGCAGCTGAGCCACCCAGCAGCCGAGCCGCCCAGCAGCCGAGCCGCCCAGCAGCCAAGCCGCCCTGCAGCCGAGCCGCTCAACAGCCGAGCTGCCCTGCAGCCGAGCCGCCCAGCAGCCGAGCCGCCGTACAACCGAGCCGCCGAGCCTCCGAGCCGCCCAAGCAGCCCCGTCCGGTGAGCACAGTGCCTCTTTTCTTGCACTGCCCTCACCCTACTGTTGCACTGCTAGCCTACTGTGGTCATGGCTACCCCTAGTGTCCTCGCTTTTGACGCTGAGGGTCGAGCCATTGACTTTGACGTCTGGGTAGATGACCTGCAGCTGTTTTTACAGTGTGATCGGGCAGACGGTCTCTCACTCTTTGACCTCACCTCTGGCGCCTCTCCTGCCCCTGCTGCTGATGCCGGCGCCACTGTTCGCTCCCAGTGGGCCATGCGCGACGCAGCTCCACGTCTTGCTGTACGTCCCCACCTCCCTACCTCCGAGCGTGCGCACTTTAGTCAGTACAAGAGTGCTCAGACCTTGTACGACGCTGTAGTTGCGCGCTACTCCTCCCCTGCCACTGCTGCATGAGCCGTCTCATGCTACCGTACCTCTTCCCTGACCTTGCTGCCTTTCCCACAGTCGCTGACCTCATTACGCACCTCCGCACTAGTGACACTCGCTACCGCGCTGCACTTCCTGCTGACTTCTGCGCCAAGAACCCCCCCCCCCCATGTACATCACTCTCTACTACATAGTCACTCGCCTCCCTGACTCCCTTCACATAGTCAGGGACCACTTCCTCTCAGTCTGTCCCACCACACTCACTGTTGACCTCCTCGAGAAGTTCCTCCTAGCGGCCGAGAAGAGCATAGTCGCTGTAGGGGCCTCTCGTGGTGACCCGCGCACCCCCATCTTTGAGGGGTGTTCCCCCTCCCCCCTTCTGCCCTCTGTTGCCTCTGCTGTTGCGGCCGACCTCCTTGGTCTTGAGTCGGTCGGTGCGGCGTCTGCCCCTGGTGGGAGACGCCGCTCTGGCAAGGGCAAGGGGGGCAGGGGCACTGGAGGGGCGAGTGGGGGCGGTGGAGGTGGAGGTGGAGGCGGCGGGGGGAGTGGGGGTGGCGGTGGGAGTGGTGGTGGGGGTGGAGGTGTCGGTGGCGGGAGTGGAGGCGGAGGCCGCGGCGGCGGTGGCGGTGGGAGCGGAGGTGGCGGAGGTGGCGGCGGTGGAGGAGGCGGCGGAGGCGGCGGGGGTGGCGGTGGAGCTGGTCGCGGGTCTACGCAGAGGAGTGGCTCCGGTGGTGGTCCGCGCCAGCAGCAGCAGCGTGGTCGTGAGACCCTGTCCCCTCAGCAGCTCCGTGAGTGGTACACTGCACGCCAGCGGGGTGGGGGTTTTGGTCCGTGCACCTACGTCCTGCACACCAGCGACCGTGCGGGTGAGCAGTGTGGGGGTGCGCACCCCAGCCAGCGCTGCTTTGGCCGCCTGACGGACGCGTGGCGTCACCAGTTCCTGGAGGCCACAGAGATCCCTCACTGGGGCGAGCTGTCTAGGGCGGGTGTTGCCGTCTATGATCTTGATTTTGATGCTATTCTTTCTGCCATGTATGTTGTGTCTATTAGTGATGAGGGTGGCTGTTACTGGTGTTTCCCGCCCGATCCGGGCATTGAGACTGCTGCTCTAGGTACTGGTGAGGCGGCTGCCCTAGGTGCTTGCGACGCTGCTGCTCTAGGTGCTAGTGCGTCTGCGTCCTCAGGTACTGGTGAGTCTGCGCTCTCAGGTACTACGTCGGCTTCGGCCTCCCTCACCTTCACCCTTGACTCTGGGGCTTCTCGCTCCTTCTTGTGGGACCATACCACACTCACGCCGCTTAGTCGGCCGGTTGCGGTGTCTTTCGCTGACCCCTCTGGGGGTCCTGTCCTGTCTCACTTCTCCACAGTCCTCTTGTGTCCGGCGGCTCCCTCTGGCACCCTGTCTGGTCTCTACCTCCCCTCGTTCTCTACAAACCTGGTGAGTGGTGCTGACCTACAAGATGGGGGAGTACACCAATTCACTCCTGCGCGTCAGCGGGTGACGCACTGCATAGAGGCTAGCACATGCAGACACCTGGCTACGTTGACCCGTCAGCCGGGGTCGAGCCTGTACACACTGACCACTGCGTCTCCTCCAGTTGTTGAGTCTGGTAGGGTCGCTGCGTCGGGTCGGGTGTTTGCTGGAGCGTCCAGGTCTGGTCCCGAGTCTGCCCCCTGTTCGTGTCGTCTCCTCTCTCACGAGACTCTCCTCTGGCACCACCGCCTTGGTCACCCCTCTCTGCTTCGGCTCAGAGGCATGGCCTCCCGTCTTCTTGTTTCTGGTCTCCCTCGGTCCCTCCCTCCCCTTCATCAGGGCCCTGGCCCTACCTGTGTCCCCTGTGTCGAGGGGCGCCAGCGGGCTGCCCCTCACTCCTCTCAGTTTCCTCCGACAGAGGCCCCGTTGCAGACGCTTCACATGGACGTGTCGGGCCCAGCCCGCGTTCGTGGTCAGGGTCACGAGCGCTACTTCCTGCTCGTTGTTGACGACTACTCGCGTTATACCGCAGTCTTCCCCTTGCGCAGCAAGGGTGATGTCACTGAGGTGCTGATTGTCTGGATCCGCGCAGCTCGTCTCCAGCTCAGGCAGAGCTTTGGCTCGGACTTTCCTGTTCTGTGTCTGCACTCGGACAGAGGCGGAGAGTTTTCTTCTGGCCTTGTGAGAGCCTACTGTCGCGCACGAGGAATCCGTCAGACCTTCACGCTTCCGGACTCCCCGCAGCAAAATGGGATTACTGAGCGCCGCATTGGCATGGTCATGGACGTCGCTCGTACGTCTATGATGCATGCGGCTGCTCCCCATTTTCTGTGGCCGTTTGCGGTGAGGTACGCGGCGCATCAGATCAACCTACACCCCAGAGTCTCCAGGCCGGAGACCTCCCCAACCTTGCTGTGGACGGGGAAGGTTGGCGATGTGTCGGCGTTCCGGGTCTGGGGATCTCGGGCGTTTGTCCGCGACTTGTCTGCGGACAAGCTGTCCCCTCGTGCTGCTCCTTGCGTCTTCCTGGAGTTCCCCCCTGACGCGCCAGGGTGGCAGTTCTACCACCCCACCTCTCGCCGTGTTCTGTCCTCCCAGGACGTCACGTTTGACGAGTCGGTCCCCTACTACCGCCTCTTCCCCTACCGCACTCCGTCCCTCCCCCCGCCGCCGCTCTTCCTTGTACCAGGTCCCCCTCCAGTAGACCCCCTCCCCCCCCAGGGTCCGTCCCCTTCAGGTGTGTCCCAGGTAGACGCAGTCAAGCCTGTCGAGGTCATTGGTGACTCTGGTGCTGCTGAGGGTGCTGAGCCTGGGGGTGCTGACTCTGGGGGTGCTGAGCCTGGGGGTGCTGAGCCTGGGGGTGCTGCGACTGGGGGTGCTGAGCCTGGGGGAGCTGAGCCTGGGGGTGCTGCGCCTGGGGGTGCTGAGCTTGGGGGTGCTGAGCCTGGGTGTGCTGAGACTAGGGGTGCTGAGCCTGGGGGTGCTGAGTCTGGGGGTGCTGCACCTGCGGGTGCTGAGCCTGGGGGTGCTGAGCCTGGGGGTGCTGATCCTAGGTGTGCTGAGCTTGGGGGTACTGAGCTTGGAGGTGCTCCGCCTGGAGGTTCTCCAGGTGCTTCGTCTCTGCAGGAGCTACTTTCTCCACGGGAGCTGCGCGAGTGGTTTGCCCGGCGCTGGAGGCATGCTACTGGTGCTGGAGGTTCTTCGGCTACTGAGGGTGCTGCTGTTGCGGGTCCCGGAGGTTCTCGTACTGGGAGTACTGGAGCTGCTGGGCCTGCGGGTTTGACTGTTGAGGGTGCTGCTGAGGGTGTTGGTACTGAGACTACTGCTGGCGGTCCTGCTGCGGGTACTCCTGGTACTACTGGAGGTTCTGGCGCTGCTAGAGGTGCAGCTGGAGCGGGTGCTCCTTCTGGGGGTACTGGTGTTGTACCTGTTGTGTCTGGCGTCGCCGCGCGGCCTCGACCGTACTTCGTTCCACTCCTACAGCAGGTTCTTGGTTTCCCGCCTTGTACTGGTCCTCCTCCTTCTTTAGAGTGTCCACAGCCAGTCCTGTGACAGTTACAGTTGCAGCCTACCTCCCCTTTGCCTGCTCCTTCTCCCTACACTGGTCCTACTGGAGGTCTTACTGAGCGTCGTGAGCGTGCGTCTCGCCCTGCGTTGCCTGTCCGTGCTGCTCCCGCTAGTGGTCGTGGTTCGCGTCAGCGTCCTCCTCCTGTCCCTGGCACGCACACGATGTCTTTGTGTCCGTCCAGTGCTCCTTTGCACGCCCCTTTGCCTTCTCCTCCTGAGTCCTCTCTTCCTGCTTTTGCCGACCCGGAGTCGGACTCTCTTCGTGCTGCCAGTCCTACTGTCACGCGTCTCCTGGCTATTGTTGTCACTGACCCTTCTTTCGAGTCCACTGCTGCGTCTGCCCTAGTTACTGAGCTCGTCGACTTTGCTGCTCGCTGTCGCCTAGACTACGCTGCTAGTCTTGTCGCTGAGTCTGAGTCTGTCCGTCCTCCGTCCGTCGGGGGTGAGTGTGCCCTTGGCACGGACGTCCTTGAGGACAGGCAGGAGGAGTTCCAGTGCTTGGCCGCTGCTTCACCTCATCTCGTGTCCGTACTGCTTACCCCTGAGGGAGACCCGGATGCACTTGACATCCCGACTCTGGGCTCTTACGCGGAGGCGATAGAGGGTCCCTACTCTTCTCAGTGGCAGGCAGCTATGGATGCAGAGATGGCTTCCTGGAAGTCCACAGGCACCTACGTTGACGCTGTCCCCCCTCCTGGGGCGAACATCGTCAGTGGCATGTGGATCTTCAAGGTGAAGGAGCCACCGGGTTCTCCGCCTGTCTTCAAGGCGCGTTACGTGGCTCGTGGCTTCAGTCAGCGGCAGGGAGTTGACTACTTTCAGACCTTCTCTCCCACCCCGAAGATGACCACTCTACGGGTACTACTGCACGTTGCTGCTCACCGTGACTACGAGCTGCACTCTCTCGACTTCAGCACAGCTTTCTTGCAGGGCAGCCTGCACGAGGAGATCTGGCTGCGCCGCCCACCTGGCTTCACTGGGTCTTTCCCTCCTGGTACCCAGTGGAGTCTCCGGCGTCCAGTCTACGGTCTCCGCCAGGCGCCACGTGAGTGGCACGACACACTGAGGACTACGCTTGCGGCTCTTGGGTTTGCTCCTTCTACTGCCGACCCGTCGCTGTTTCTGCGCACCGACACTTCTCTGCCGCCGTTCTACATCCTTGTGTACGTCGACGACTTGGTCTTTGCCACAGCTGACACTGCTGGACTCGCCTACGTGAAGTCTGAGCTGTAGAAGAGACACACATGCACAGACCTGGGTGAACTGCGCAGCTACCTTGGCTTGCAGATCACCCGGGACAGAGCACGCCGCACCATTACCCTGACTTAGTCACACATGGTGCAGCAGGTCCTTCAGCGCTTCGGCTTCACGTACTCCTCGCCTCAGGCCACTCCTCTACCTACTAGCCACTCGCTCTCAGCTCTGCCTTCGGATGAGTCCATAGAGTCGAGTGGTCCGTATGCAGAGCTTGTTGGCTGCCTCATGAACCTGATGACCTGCACACGACCTGACCTCGCATACCCTCTTAGCATTCTCGCACGCTATGTTGCTCCTGGGAGACACCGACCAGAGCACATGGCTGCAGCGAAGAGGGTGTTGCGCTATTTGTGCAGTACGTCGGGCATGGGGCTAGTGCTTGGAGGGCGGAGTCCAGTAGTCCTCACTGGGCACGCGGGCGCTTCTTGGGCTGACGACCAGGCTACGCAGCGGTCGTCACAGGGTTACACCTTCAGCCTTGGTTCCGGCTCTGTTTCGTGGCGGGCTACTCGCTCGTCTTCTGTTCTCGGCTCCAGTTGTGAGGCTGAGATCTACGCCGGGGCCATGGCTGCACAGGAGCTTCGCTGGCTCACCTACCTGCTGACCAACCTTGGAGAGTCGCCTCGTTCTCCTCTAGTCCTGTACGTAGACAACAAGGCCATACTGGCCTTGTGTCGAGAGCAGAGACTGGAGCACAGAGCAAAGCACATTGCTCTTTGCTACTTTCTTGCTCGTGAGCTACAGCTGCGTGGTCAGTTGCGGCTTGCGTACGTGGCCTCTGAGGTCAACACTGCTGATGTCTTCACCAAGGCACTTGCGCCTTGTGATCATCAGCGCTTCTGCACGCAGCTGGGTCTTGTGCCTGTCTTGCCTCACTTGCTCACCTCTTGACCTTGCTTGTACTGTTGCATATATATATACACCTGCTCTTGCTTGTCTAGTCCTTTATATATATGTACTCCTGCATGTGAACTGGCCTTGTGGCCTTGAACTTGTGCTCATAATGTGTGGTGACTTTGTGATCCACCTTGTGCTTGCTTTGCTTTGCTTTGCTTGACTGGTCTTGTGACCCCTTGTTCTCCCCCACTTTGCCTATGGGGGTGTGTCAGAACATATAGCTTGTGCTTATTGTGTAGGCTATAGTGGGGTACCCCATAAGGGGTACAACCCAATTAGGGTTAGTACTTATACTCAGTTCATTCATAGTTCATTCATTCTCGTTTCTTCTCATTGTTGCCACGGTTTTTATGACATGCGGGGGTTATTTAGTGATTGGTTCTTTATGGCAGATTATCGAATCTGGGAGCGATGGAAGCTCCTTCGTAGACATCGCGTAATGACGTGAGAATCGTTGCAGCACCGGGGCTCCAAATAGTGCTCACGAGGTAGGCTACCCGCTTTTGATCTTCTTGAAATGATCGACGATGTGGTTGCATGATGAGCGCCGCACATTCTGTTTGCTTCACGGCGTCGTGTTTTGTGTGCTTTCATTTCCTCCATTTTGTTTGAGTCGACAATCTGACAACGTTCGTGACAAGTAATATATTGTGCTTTCACTACACGAACGTTTATCTGCATATTAGCAAGTGTTCAATACATAAATTTATTGCATGCAATGTTGTAGTGCCAATATGCAGACGAATGGAACTACTGATGGTCCTGAGCTTACAATTTCTGTAGTGAACTGTAATGTATTTCGATATGATTAATTGTGAAATCATATAAAGCTGAAAAGGAATCGGTTTATATCTATTTTGAACATGGCTATAACGGAATGTATTTTTTTAATGTTGTACAAGATGTTGCTGAACTTTTCTATTGTGTTGTGTTGGCAAGTGTACTGCTGGCAAAATTCTGTGATGTTGGCGATGCATTTCACAGCGAGGACGCGGCTCGCGTGTGATTCGTTCCAAACTGCTAGGAGGGGTTTCCTGTGGGTCACCACCTGTGGGTAACCTCGGGGTCACCACGCGAAGTGAAAGCTGTAGAGGTGACCCGCGGGCCACCTAGACAAGGACCCCGGGGTATCCCCCCAGGGGGTAAGCTGTGGGTAACCTAGGGGGGGCTTTCTGGGCCAAACTTTTTTGGGAAGTTAACACGTCCTAATTGCCCCTCGTTGCTGTAATTTCCTCCCATTTAGGTCGTGGTCTATGTCACGGGCGTTGTATTGGTATCCATAGCCAAGGGTTCGAATGTCCCACGTAAGGTACGTCGTGAAACTCCTCCAATATAATCAGCCGTAGCGGGGCGTAATTCGGTACCCAATTTTTTCCTGAACCCTTCCTTACCACTAAGTCTTTATCCCACTGTAACAGCTTCTTAGTCTGTGCTGTAGCGATCTATGCGTCCACGGAGTATCTATGTTGGAATAATCCCTTGAGCAGAGGGTTCATCCCGCCGAGCTGGATGCCTGCTACATGTCCGGGGCGGCTCAACGCGTCTGCCTTGTTGTGTAGGCCGGGCTTGTAGACGATGTCATAGTGGAAGTGAGTTTCTAGGAAGTCCACCCACCGCACCTGTCATCGTGACAGCGTCGGCTGCGACTTCAGGTATTTGAGGCTGCAGTGGTAAGTATAAACTGTAGTCTTGGCTCCCTCTAGGTAACACATCCACGCCTTGAAGGCTATGACTATCGCTAAGGCTTCCTTATCATGGATGGGGTAGTTCAGTTCTGCTCCGTGTAGCTTCTTATTGAGGTAGGCGATGGGCTGCAAATTGCATCCGTGATCCTGCATCAGAACTGCTCCAACTGCTTTGTCACTAGCGTCTGCTTCCACCACGTAGTCCTTGTCTGGGTCCGGTAGGATGAGTACTGGCGCTGCAGTCAGTGTTGTCTGTAACTGCTCCATGGCTTGCTGATGAGGAGTATCCCATTTGTAGGGCGTATCCTTTTTCAGTAGGTCACTCAGTGGCGCTGCTATCTTAGCGTACTGCGGCACGAACCTGTTGTAGTTGTTGGCAAAGCCTAGGAACTGCTGCAACTCCTTCACGTTCTCCGGTACTTTCCATTTCTTGACGGCTTCAATCTTCTGCGGGTCCACGTGTACGCCCTCGCCACTCACCATTTGCCTGAGAAACTGCACCTTCTTCAGTGCAAAGTCGCTCTTCGACAGCTTCACGTAGAACTTGTTTTTCTGCAGGATCTCGAACACCTTCCGCAAATGCTCCACGTGCTCCTTCATGTTCTTGGAGTAGATGAGAATATCATCCAGGTACACCACCCCGCACTCATCCAGCAGGGGCCATAGGATGTGATTCATCTCTGCCTGAAACGTTGTTGGTGCGTTGTAGAGTCCGAACGGCATCACCAAGTATTCATAGGAGCCGCATCTGGTACGGAACGCCATCTTGTGGATTGAGTTGTCTGCCATCTTGATCTGTCAGTAACCCAACCGTAGGTCCAGCTTCGAAAAGACTGTTGCACCACGCAGTTGATTCAATAGATCGTCTATGCGCGGTATGGGATATTTGTTTTTTACTGTCTGTTTGTTCAGTACGTGGTAGTCGATGCACATCCGTAAACTGCCGTCTGGTTTTGGAGTGAAGAGGACTGGTGCACCGTAGGGAGAGGTGGATGGGCGGATCAGTTGTCAGTCAAGTAGATACTCGATCTGCTTCTTCATGTCTGTCAGATCGGACGGACTAAGGCGGTATGGTGCATGTGAGATGGGTTTCGCACCTGGTTCCTCCATGATCTTATGCTCATGGATGCGTGCTGGAGGAACGCCTGGAGGTAGGTCGTTGGGCATTATATCCTTGTATTGCTCCAAGACCTCCTTCACTGCTGCAGGTAGCTCTGTGTTTGGCTTCTCCTCCTCTGCTGCTGCCATGATTAGTGCTAGGTAACGCGTGTTACTCTCATTCACCGTCCGTTTGAACCGTGCCTGTGTCGTTTTAGGAACGTTCCTTGTATCCGTCCAGCTTCGCAGCTCCACTCGTTTCCCATTGTTGTAGATGCATGCCTTCCTGTTGACCTAGTCGATCTCGGGGCTGAACCGCTTCAGGAAATCTCGCCCCAAGATGAAATCTAAACCCGTGATGTTCGTAATAGCAATGTCGGCTTCCACCTCAGCGCCCCTATGTGCAGCTGCAGTGATGCTTCACCGTGGATGGGAAGTTTCGCACCGTCTACCATCAGTGCCGTGAACTTGGTCTCCTCTGAAGATTCTTCAATTTTCTCCAACGTCCTGCGGTCGCACACCGAGTGAGACGCACTGCTGTCCACCAGTGCCTGGAGGCGTCGCCCTTTGCAGATCACCTCAAGGAGTAGTGGTTGTTGCTGCTCCGAGCAGCCGTAAATGGTTTCGCTTTTAGGGTACGTCGAATAGATCATCCCTCGGTCCTGCGCTCGAAGCTCCTGACTCCATATCAATTTTCAACTGAGTAGGGTTAGAAGGATTTATCCGAGGCCGATTCAGCTTTGACTTGGCCTGGAACCTTCCCCTAAGCCTTCGCAGCTGTGTGGCTTCACCTGTGCGCAGTGGGGAGCCTTAACAATGTGCTGCAGGGAGAGAATATTAACTCCTTGGAACGCATGACCCTCTTCAGCGCTCCGGAGTAGTTTGCCCAACTTCTCAGGTACCTGAATAATGTCAAAAGGCTTTTTCTTGGCCTTGAAATCTCCCCTAAATATTTCACAGGCTTGAAAACATCGAGAGGAAATATTCTTTCTCTCAGGGGTGTTCGGGTGGAGTTTCCCGGTCAGTGCAGAGTCTTGTTTCGCGGATTCTCCATTCGTCTCGGCGATTTCCCCTGTTGCCTGCTGGTCGAGGCGTTTTAAATTTGCGCCATCGTGTCCTCCTTTTTTCACCCGCTCCGAAGTCACCATGTGTTTTGACTTCGGGGGTGCTGCACTGTTGTTGCCCTTCAGTTCCGCTAGTGCCTTCTTCATTTTCCAACACGCCAAGAATCGATGTCCTGCTGCACCACAAAATTCGCAGTTCTCATATTTTGTCGGCCGTTGCTTCGCGTCGATCTTGTCGATATCAATCGGGTCAGCGGTCGTGGGTGGTGCCGATTGCTCCGTGCCGAATGATCTGTTCAGCACGCGTCGTTGTGTTTTGGGTCGACCTTGAGTCAACGCATCGAATCTCTCTGCTGCACACACCAAGTCGCTGTAGTTGTTGTAGTTCGCGGCAATCACCTGTCGGCGGACTTCCATCTTTAGCCCCTCAGTATACGCTTGGATTTTTTACCCTTCGGTTAGGTCGGTAATTTGGTTGAAGAGGCTCTCCATCTGCTGCGTGTACTGTGTTACACTGCCGAACTGTTTATGCCGGTGAATCTGCTGCCGCGCCATGTAGCTGGAGTTGATTGGCTCGAAACGTTGAATTAAAGCTTCCCGAAACTGCGTCCATAACCCCTCGCCTCGGACCTCGTTGCTATTGTAAATCCACTCGAGCGCCGGGCCTTGTAACAGTGCCGCTGTAAGCCGAATCCGCATTGCATCGTGTGTCGGGGTCGTACAGCCAACGGCCTCGAAGTAAATTTCGAGGGTCGCAGTGAATCGACGGACGTCGGTGTCTCTCGCATTCGGATTGAACGTTTCCGATAGCCTCGGATGTGCCGCCTCAAGATTCACTGTAGCCGCTGCCGCTGATGCTAGGTGAAGTGCCAGTGTCACCGCTGCTGCTGCTAACGTCGCTGCTGCATTCGCCGTTGCGTTCGCTACTGCCGTGGCGGCTGCCGACTGGTTCGCAAGAAGCACCTCTATTCGCTGGAGTGCCGCTCGCGTCTGGTCCAAGCCGGTGTGTAACTCTGTAATTTTTCGTATGGAATTATCACCATTTTCCTCCATTTCGCGATTTCCAGGAAGATGTGCGACGAAAATAATATTTTTTAGGCGCTCGTCTACTCACTGCGAGTGGAATCGATTGTAGAAATGACGAGCGCTGTTTCTGCTAGTCGTGTAATTCTTCCTTAGCTGAAATTCGCGTCCAATCTCGGCCGTTGAGAAGAAATTCGATCTGACGCTCCAAATTTCCCAGCTTTTTTTGGCAAAATTCTCAGGGCCGTTGAGATTCAAATCGATCTTACGATCGAAATTCCAACTTTTTCGCCACTGGGCCTGAGAAGTGTTTGAAAACCGGTTCGAGGGGGACGTTAGAAAACAGCGCGGAACTGGTTTACGCACTCGAAATCGGCGCTTTCCGTCGTCGCCCCCGCGGTTTTAAAAACTAGGTTTTAGCGGTCGAAAAACTTCGCGTGCAAATAGGCTCTGATGACCAAGTGTGAGAATCTAGGATCGAGCTCAGAAAAGTGGGTTTGAATTGAATGATCCACCTGGGTACAACATGAGGCTATATATAGGCTCGACACGAGGTAGGTAACCCAAGTGTTACGCGAATGTTCTGAGGGTCGCGAAGCGTCCCAAACAGAACCTTTCTGAACTCAGTAGAAAGCAGTTCGGTGGAAACCGGATAGGCTTGAGTTCGGTACACGTAACCTGGTTCGGTGCTATAACTATAATAAAATATAGGAATGCACCTAACCTAGGAAATCAAACATATCTATGCATGATGAAATAAACCCAAGCTAGATATAGCGTAATAAAGTCTAGGCAAGCTAGCAAAGCCAGCATAAGCCGTCGTACTCTTACAGTTGCCCTTCTATCAACGCTTCGGGCCGACCAGCTGCACGATCCCATCGTCGTTGAAAATTTTCGGTAAACCTCGCCAAATACTCTTCCACTCTCCCTTGTGCCTCTTCACCGTCCGCACCTGACCAATCGTGGTTTCAACGCCAGAGTGGCGGCAACATGCGTTCCCCTGGTACAGACAGGGGTTGAGGTTCATTCATTCAAACTCTAAAACACCAGGGGCATTGAAATACTCCACTCACCAGCTTTTTTCGCTACCATCATGAGAGCATCTTTTGCCCCTGACCCAGCGTACATAAGGAAGTACACCAAGTCGGACACTGTCGCGGTTTGACCCTCACCCATCAGCGAGCTCAAACCACACCGCAAGTAGCAAATTGGAATTCGCATCGTCTTTGATATCGCGAGGCTTGCCTGGTCCTTGCCCTTTACAATCTCTTTTACCCTTGATCTCCATGTTGCGGAGGAGATCTTTCTCGGACGACCCATTCTGCACACCATGCACCCAAATTGATTGTTAGCAACATATGCATTTGAAGTATCAAATGGGGCGAGCCCACCGCATGGGAGAGGGCTGGCCAGCCCCTTTGATTGCGGTGGGCCCGCCCATGGGATGAGGCGAACACACCGCATGGGAGAGGGCTGGCTAGCGATGGCATGATGACGGGAGAGGGTGGGCTTGCAGGGGGAAACCGTTTGCATGATGAGGGGCGAGGGAGGCCAAGCAGGGGGTATACTGATGGGAATGATGACGGGGAAGGGAGGGCTAGTAGGGGATACCTTATGGCATGATAAGGGGGAAGGGAGGGCTAGCAGGGGGGTACCTTATGGCAAGATAAGGGGGAAGGGAGGGCAGGGTAGGGAGGGATGCAAGGGCAGTGGGGTAAAGGCAGGGCAGGTTTGGAGTTGGACTGAAGGAGGAGCGCAGCAGGTAGTGAATGGTGGCGGGGGAATGGCAGGGCAGAAGGGGTAGGGCAGGGGTGAAACGGCAAGGCAGGGTAGGGAGGATTACCGCTGTCTCACCTCGTGCAAAATCGTTGGTTTTGTCCTCTTTGCCTTGGTGGACGTGGCGCCTTGTGTGAGGGAGTTGTGCCTTTGGAAGATATGTGCAAGCTAGCCTGCACCTAAATACGGGGCAAATAGGGGCAAAACGCAAGGATAGCAGGGGTTAAACATGGGGCTAGCACGCGGGAAACATGGGGCTAGCAGTAGGGGGGAAACATAGCACGGGGTTAACATTGGGTCAGTAGTAGGGGGGTAACATGGGGCTAGCAGTAGGGGGGAAACATAGCACGGGGTTAACATTGGGTCAGTAGTAGGGGGGTAACATGGGGCTAGCACAGGGGTAACATGGGGCCAACGATGGCGGAAACATGGGGCCAGCAGTAGGGGGGAAACATAGCCCGAGGGAAGCATGGGGCCCACAGTTGGCGGGAAACATTGGGGCCAGCAGTAGGGGGGAAACATAGCATGGGGGAAACATGCGGCTAGCATGGGTGAAATATGGGCCAGCGATAGTGGGGTAACATGGGGCTAGCATGGGGAACACATGGGACTAGCATGGGGATGAAAAAGGGGTTGCCGTGGGAGGAAATAGGGGGCTACCATGGGAGGAAATAGGGGGCTACCATGGGAGGAAACAGCCCTCCTGTGAGGGGTGTGAGGTTCCTTTGTTGCTAAGTGCTCCACACGGTGCTCAGTGCTTTCATGCACTGACCAACCTGGGAAGGCTGAGGGGAGGGAGGGAAGCAAGGATGTGACAAGGGAAAGCGAGTAAGAGTGTGAGGGCTATGAGGTTCCATTGTTGCTGAGCGCTCCACACGCTGCTGGGAGCAGTGATGCACTGACCACCCAGCCTTCTAAACATGGGGCTAGCACCTTGTATAAGCATGTGCCTAGCATGGGGGGACACAAGGGGCTGGCAGCGAGGAAGCAACCGACTATCACGGGGAGAATATGGGGCTAACATGGGGAAGAAATGGGTCTGGCATGGGGGAAACGTGGGGCCTGCAGGGGGATAACATGGGGCTAGACTGGGGCAAACATGGGGCCCGCAGTAGGGGGGAAACATGGGGCTAGCATGGGGGGGAAAATGGGGCAACCTTTAGGGGAAGTATGGGGCTTGCGATTTGTAGTTTCGGGCTTGCAGAGGGAAAACATGGGGCTAGTAACATGGGGCTAGAAGGGGGGGTAAGATGAGTCTAACATTGGGAAAATATTGGGCTAGCATGGGGGGAATAGGGGGCTATCAGGGGGGAATATGAACATGAGCGCAGGGGGAAAACGTGGGGCCTGCAGCGAGAAACATGGGGCCTGCAGGGGGAATCATGGGGATAGCGTGGGGGAATCATGGGGATAGCATAGGGGAATCATGGGGATAGCTTGGGAGAATCATGGGGATAGCATGGGGGAAGCATGGGAGTAAAGCTTGGGGGTAAACATGACGCTAGCACGGGGGGAAAAATGGGGAGAGCATGTAGGCATGGAAGTGAGGAGTGCGGCGAGCATTCGGGAAGGCACCCAAGGGCATGCACGGCAAGGCACCACCACCAGTGCAGCAACCAATGCACCCACCAGGCAGGGTTGGCAGCAAGGGGCAGACCAGCGACGAGAGCAGCCAGAATGGCGAGACATATGGCCGACTGGTCAAGAGACCCCAGGCGATTGAGCGGCCCCAGTTGGCAAGCCAGCCGGCTGAGAGCGTTCCACACGCTAAGATGAGCAGCGATGCACTGACCACCCTGCCTTGGAAGGGAAGGGGAGGGAGGGAAAAGAGGGAGTGACAAGCGAAGGTGAGTAAGACTGTGCGGGCTGAGAGGTTCCTTTACTGGTGAGCACTTCACATGCTGCTGTGAGCAGTGATGCACTCACCACCCAGCCTTGGTAGGGGAGGGGAGGGAGGGAAAAGAGGGAGTGACAAGCGAAGGTGAGTAAGACTGTGCGGGCTGACAGGTTCCTTTGCTGGTGAGCACTTCACATGCTGCTGTGAGCAGCGATACACTGACCATCCTGCCTTGGAAGGGAAGGGGAGGGAGGGAAAAGAGGATGTGACAAGCGAAGGTGAGCAAGACTGTGCGGGCTGAGAGGTTCCTTAGGTGGTGAGCACTTTACATGCTGCTGTGAGCAGCGATGCACAGACCACCCTGCCTTGGAAGGGAAGGGGAGGGAGGGAAAAGAGGGAGTGACAATCGAAGGTGAGTAAGACTGTGCGGGCTGACAGGTTCCTTTGCTGGTGAGCACTTCACATGCTGCTGTGAGCAGCGATGCACTCACCACCCAGCCTTGGTAGGGGAGGGAGGGAGGGAAAAGAGGGAGTGACAAGCGAAGGTGAATAAGACTGTGCGGGCTGAGAGGTTCCTTTGCTGGTGAGCACATCACATGCTGCTGTGAGCAGCGATGCACTCACCACCCAGCCTTGGTAGGGGAGGGGATGGAGGGAAAAGAGGGAGTGACAAGCGAAGGTGAATAAGACTGTGCAAGCTGAGAGGTTCCTTTGCTGGTGAGCACTTCACATGCTGCTGTGAGCAGCGATGCACTCACCACCCAGCCTTGGTAGGGGAGGGGAGGGAGGGAAAAGAGGGAGTGACAAGCGAAGGTGAATAGCTCGGGGAGCATGGGGATAGCTCGGGGAAATCATGGGGATAGCTTGGGGGAATGATGGGGATAGCTTGGGGGAAAACTGGGGATAGCTGGGGGGAAACTGGGGATAGCTTGGGGGAAATCTGGGGATAGCTTGGGGGAAAACTGGGGATAGCTTGGGGGAAAACATGGGGCCAGCAGTAGGGGGGAAACATGGGGCTAGAATGAGGGGAAACTTGAGGCATGGTGGGGGAAACAGGGCTAGCATGGAGGGAAATATGGGGCTATCAGGGGGGGAATATGTGTCTAGCAGGGGGGAATCATGGGTCTGCAGGGGAGAAACATGGAGCTAGCATGGGGGAAATAAGGGGCTATGAGGCAAGAAGCACGAGGGAGTGAGTTTGAGGCAGGAACGTGGAAGGGGGAATGGGGAAGGGGGAACGCGGAAGGGGGAACGCGGAAGGGGGAATGGGGAAGGGGGAACCTGGAAGGGGGAACGCGGAAGGGGGAACGCGGAAGGGGGGACGCGGAAGAGGGAACGCGGAAGGGGGAACGCGGAAGGGGGAACGGGGAAGGGGGAACGCGGAAGGGGGAACGCGGAAGGGGGAACGGGGAAGGGGGAACGCGGAAGGGGGAACGCGGAAGGGGGAACGCGGAAGGGGGAACGCGGAAGGGGGAACGCGGAAGGGGGAACGCAGATGGTGGATTACGGAAGGGGGATTGATGAAGATGGAATGCGGAAGGGGAAATGAGGAAAGGGGAATGTGGAAGGGAGAATGCGGAAGGGGGGATGCGGAAGGTGGGATGGCGGAAGGGGGGATGCTGAAGGGGGAATGCGGAAGGGGGGATGGGGAAAGGGAAATGCGAAAGGGGGAATGCGGAACGGGAATGCGCAAGGGGGGATGCGCAATGGGAGATTCGGAGGGGGGAATGCGGAAGGGGGAATGAGGACTGTGGAATGCGGAAGGGGGGAAATGCGGATTGGGGAATGCGGAAGGGGGGATGAGGAGGGTGGAATGCGGAAGGGGAAATGAGGAAGGGGGAATGCGCAAGGGGTATGCGGAAGGGGGAATGCGGAAGGGGGAATGCGGAAGGGGGAATGCTGAAGGGGGAATGCGGAAGGGGGGATGCGGAAGGGGAAATGCGGAAGGGGGAATACGGAAGGGGGAATGCAGAAGGGGGGATGGGGAAAGGGGGATGGGGAAAGGGGGATGCGGAAGGGGGAATGCGGAAGGGGGAATGCGGAAGGGGGAATGCGGAAGGGGGATCTCTCAAGGGGGAATACGGAAGGGCGAATTCGGGAGGGGCCATGCGTCTGTGGGCGGATGTGGGCGGCGAAAGGCTCTAGCGCTGGCGGCTGCTAGCGTTACTGGCAGCTGCGGTATAGGCTGGCTTGCGGGACGCGCGGTTTCGGATGGCGAATCGCTGGCGCGCGGGCCTCTGGCGGACCGCGTGCTGTTTGCTGGCGCGCGAGCGTCAACCGCGCGCGCAATGCAAACGCGCCCCGCTGTATGAATCTCGTTCGATGTGTTGTGGGGCGCATAATAATGACGCTAGCTGTGCTGGCGCACGCGGAATGCCAGCATGTGCGGAGCAGCACTCTCGCGAAACGTGGGCAAAGTTAGCGCATTTGACGAGAATGGAATGTCGGCATAGCTGGCGCAAGTGACGCGAGCAGAATGCATTTACTAGCGGGCGCTAGTTCCGCTTGCAAATTGCTTGCATAGCTGGCGCAATTCATGCCGATTAGAGCCACTGAAGCGGCGGCATTCACTGTAGAGAACATGGCTAATCACTCACCCTAGCCTAAGGACGTTGTCGCGCTGCTGGTCCAAGAGCGTATTCCTATCCTCATATCAGGATTGTACCTTTTGCCTGGTAAAACTAGCGAGAGGTTTTGGGTTTAGGGGAATTTTTAGTGGGAGGTTGATATGAGGTTCTCTTGATACGAGGATAGGAATGTTGGAAACAATCAAGCTTAAGTGCCTCTGTCGTGTCGAAACACCAAGGCACAAGCGAAGCGAAGCATATTGAGGCACCAGCGAGTCAACCCTCGGAGGTTGAAGTAACTGCTGGAGGTTACGCGAAAGTCAAAGGTGAGCGACCTTTGACCTGACAAGTACAGCGCGACAGCAAGGACACACAATTGACTCGCTACAGAGCAGTTGCCCGAGTCGTCACTGTATCGAACCGCAACAGCAACAGTAAAGTAGTTACAACTGTATCTCTTCATATTCCTTGTACTCTTATATAACCCTGTATCTCTTTGCTTTAATCAACTTACTTTGCCCTCACATACTAGCGCAAGGTGGTTCACAACTCTTCATTAAACGCTTCCGCTACTACATCAGTTCTACTCAGAGTTCACCCCTGCAGAGATCCTAAGGGCTTTTTCTCAGCCCAACAAGGAATGCGCTCTAACAGTCTCCGCTCACCGCCATGGCTACTTCAACACGTTCCAGTGACTATTAGATGCTTATTCTATGCAGTGTGTTTGGTGGAAGGTGTTGTCGGGAGAGTTTGACAATGTGTGACTCTCAACCTTCCAAACCCTGGCTCTCTCACAACTGAAGCGCGTCAGTTTTTCGCCAACACTCGCAATTCTGTTTTTCTCTTCGTCGAGGCAAAATTGCCTTGACTACTGTACAGATGCAACAGTGCTGCGAAATGTATACCGCTGCTTTAAACAAATTGGCAACGGATACGGCCCGTATGTAAACCATTGAAGTTGTGGAGTCTTGAAAGGGAGGGGTAATGCCAGAGTCTTTTAAGATTTGGTTTAGGTTAGGTGGTCATCTCGAAGCCTGTGGTATGTGGACCGGGGTATCCAGGAACAAAAGCCAGCAGTTGGAATCCGTTGAGCTAGCACACGACTGGGGGAGTGGATAATGAGCTCCCACTCAGGGCTACTTGTCCGTTTGAAGGAGCTCCATTAATGTCAAGGTGATTGTGTGTACGTACACATTTCGACTACCTGGGCATATTACATTACGGAACTGCTAAACGCAGCAGGTCAGTCCACCAATCACGGGGCACCCTGTTTTGCAGTGATATACGTGCTGTAGTGACGAGCACTGCTTATGCATGGAAGCATCGTTTCTTGAATAATAAACAAACTGCATCTACAGTATTGCAACTTCCAGTTCATATTTCATCCTACTCATATAATTACGACTACAGCTCAGTGCCACAGCCTATGCGATTACTGGTTAGCCTAACTTGTTCAGGTTAACTTTAGCACAAGCCCAAGCACCCTAGCTCCGATAAATCGTGGCTTGTCCTATCCTTGCAGGAACCGAGTTCTTATCTAGACGGCTACACCCAAAGATATCGAGCCACTTGAGCCCCGTAAGGTGCATGATTGACCCAGGCAGGGCCAGCAACCCCTCACAATCCCTCATATCCAACTCCCTTAGCCTCGGCAAATAACCAATATCGCCTGGAAGGCTTTTTAGCTGGATGCAGCCCTTGAGGTAAAGCCCTTCCAAATAAGTGAGGAGAGGGAGGGGAGGAGGGAGGTGAGGGAGATGCACTCTTGGAGGTTGAGGGAGCGGAGGTGGGCGAGGGAGGAGAGGCGTGGCGGGAGGGCGGAGAGGGAGGAGCAGAAGGCGAGGTGGAGGCGGTTGAGGGAGGAGAGAGAGAGGAGAGGGAGGCAGGGAGGGAGGAAAGGGAGAGGCAGGAGTCGAGCTGCAGGTCTCTCAGGTTGGTGAGGTGGAGGAAGAAAGTACCGTTAAGGGCAGTGGGAGAAGGGGTTTTGAAGGAGGAGGAGGAGCAAGAGGAGGAGGAGGAGGAGGAGGAGGAGGAGGAGGAGGAGGAGGAGGAGGAGGAGGAGGAGGGGCAACCACAGCAGCAAGAGGAATCAGTACCAGCAGCAACTGCACCACATGGGAGGTCAGGCAAGGAGGCAAGCTTGATGCACCCAGTAAGGCAGGGGCGGGTGAGGCGGGAGAGGGAGGCAAGGGAGGGCGGCAGCGGAGAGGGAATCAAAGCCGCTCACCTCCAACTCCCTCAGCTTAGACATGAGCAACGAGTCGAGTAATTTAGTCGACTCGTTTTCGTTACTCGTTTTGGGCGAGTAACGAGTCGGCTCTTTCCGAGAAATTACTAGGTTTTCTCGAGTCGAGTATTACTCGTTTTTAATTGAGTACTCGCAGTTTACTCGTTTTCGAAAGCGAGTAACGAGTAATATCATTACTCGCGAGTAATCGAGTACTCGCGAGTAAACGAGTACTCGCGAGCACCGGATTACTCGATTTCGAAACGAGTAAATTGCGAGCCCAGACACAAGCGGCCTCCCTAGGGGGCTAGAAGTTGGTCGAGAATTGTGTTCTCAGATATTTTCTAACTCGATCGGCCTGCCTACTAATGCTTGTTTAGGGTAAAATGGTGAGGGTACGGAAAACGCAGTGAGCTGGCTGGATTTCCACGTGGCAACTCAGATATCGAAATTCGCGAATTCCTCGTTCCACAACCCAATCCCGGTGAAATTCTGCACTTTTCAACCCAAGTAACAAAATTTACGAAATCGTGACCCCGCAAACCAGCCTACACGATTTCGAACTTCTACCAACCCAGATCTGCGGAACCCCGCTCCTACCAAACCAAATTTGCTACCTATCCATATCCACCCCACCCAGCCTAACTTACGCCAAGCAAATCTCCTAGCCCGTGCGAAAGTTCGCTCAATAGGCGGATGGTCGCCAGCTAAACACTACTTTAAGAGTTATCTGGCAGGATGCTTCAGCAAGGAGAGTCTTACTTGCCTCGCCACCAAAAAAAAATATAGAACACAAATCGATTCAAGTATTAATTGATCCAAAACGAGTACTTAATTACTCGGTCCGAGTAATGAAATACTCGTTATTTCTCACGAGTAACGAGTCGGGTCTAGGGGTAAAATTACTCGGTCGAGTAATACTCGACTCGACTCGTTTTCAAAACGAGTAGGCTGAAAACGGGTCGAGTAATACTCGTTTTGGCATTTGCTCATGCCTACCTCAGCTGCGCCAGATGGCCCATGCCGGGGGGGAGAGCGAGGGGCGGCGAGGGGAGGAAGGAGGAGAAGGGCTCGGGGGCAGAGGAGGGGCAATCGGTTGGACTGGATGGGACAAGGGAAGGTAGGGAATCGTGTGCAAGAGGTGTGTGTGAGTGAGGATTCGGGTGCAGGTGGTGGTTGTGCTTCTGAGGGTGTGACTGTGCTACGATGAACCCGTTGCTGCCTCCATTTCAGCTGCTGCTTGTGCTCGTGCTTATGCAGTTACCACCATGGTTACTGCTGTCGCCGCTGCTGATGTTGCTGCTGCTATCTGCCATAGTGCCACCTTTGGTATTATTGCGGGCTGGGATGCTCTGAGGTTTACCTGCAGCCCCTCTTTCACCCCCGCCACCCCCACCACCACCAGCAGCGGCTTTGCTAGCAGCAGCAGCAGCAGCAGCAGCAGCAGCAGAGCCCTTGGAGCTGCCGCCCTTGCTTAGTGTGTCTGCAACCATGGCAGCACCATCTATACTGCCACTAGCTCGAGTGCTACACCTATCAGCAGCACCTTCCATGGTTGTAACACACCCGCTGCTGGTGCTGCCGCCGCCATCCATGCTACCATTAATGTCCCCCATCGCCATCCCCATCCCCTCCCCCACCTCACCCATTACAATCAGCCTATCCAGCCGCCCCAAGCACACCAGCGACGACGGCAGCAGCACCGTTCTGCACCCATCCGGCCTCAGCTCCCGCAGCCCCTGCATATGAGCCACGTTCCCCGGCGCCCACTGTAACGCGGTGCACCTGGTTACCACCAGCCGCTCTAGCTCAGCCAGGGCAGTCAGGGAAGCGGGGAGGGCGCGCAAGGACGCGCAGCCTAAAAGAATGAGCGCGCAGAGGCGGGGGGAGGTGAATGGTGGGAGGGGGGAGGAAAGGACAGGAGGAGATTTGGTCATGAGAGTGAGATGATTGAGTCTGTCAGTGAGAGTGGTTGGGAGCGGTGCTGAACCGGCTGCTGCTGTTGCTGCATCCAACCCAACTATCTGACCCTGCTCTTACCTCTGCTGCCCCTGCTGTCCTTGCTTCCCGTGCTGCTGCCACCCCTTCTGCCCCTGCTGCTGCCCTTGCTGCTGCCCCTACTGTCCTTGCTTCCCCTGCTGCTGCCCCCCCTTCTGCCCTTGCTGCTGCCCCTACTGCTGTCTCTGCTGCTGCCCCCCCTTCTGCTCCTGCTGCAGCCCCTGTTGCTGCTTTTCCTCCACCTTCTTAGCTACACTTCCTTTCCCTCCAGACGTACCTACGCCCTCCCCGACCGGCAGGCGCAGAGCCACCAGCTCGCAGCACTCCTCCACCACCAGCCTCTCTAATCGCATCATCGAGCGCATCGCTACAGGCGGACTTGTTAACCCCTTACAGAGACGCAGCTGCAACTCTTTCAAACGGGTCAGCGCGCCTATAGATTCGAGCAGGCTCGGCGAGCAGGATAGTCCCAGAACGTGTTTTCCAGCTGCCCGAGGCTCGTTACTGGTTCGGGCAGGCCTAAAAGGTTATCAATATCTTCTAATTGGAGCTCCCGCAGACAGGTCAGTGTCAGAATATTATCTTATGTTCTAGCCTGTAGTGGGGTGCTCTATAGCGAGTACAACCCTTCTAGGGTTTTGCTATTTGTATCCTCATTCCTGCTAGTTCAATCCTCTTTCTTTCTTCAAACTTTAACAGTCAGCAGGTCTAGGGTTTGGGCAGAGAGGAGAGATTAGAGAGCGAGGCGAGGCGCAAGGTTTTAAGAACGGATAGACAGCCGAGATCGTCGGGTAAAGACTCTATATGCGTGCAGTCGGAAACTTCCAGGAACTCGAGCTGGGCTAGGTCTGGCAGGGAGGGCGCGAGGCCGACGAGGCGATGGCACTTGCTGATTTCCAATTCGCGCAAAAGTGGTAACTGCCCGATGTCTTCGGGCAGCAGCGTAAGGTTACCGCATCGGCTTATAACGAGTCGCTCCAGGGAGTGTAGCTGCGGCAGCGAGCAAGGCAGTTCCAGCAATCCCCCTCAGCCGTCGAGCTCCAATACGCGCAGGCACGGCAGCTGCCCGAGATCGTCGGGCAGCGACGTGAGCCAGTAGCAGGAGCATATAACGAGGACGTCGAGCAGCTGCAGGTCGCATAACGAATCCGGCAGCTGCTCGAGATTGTCGGATTTCTCAACGCGCAGATGCGTGAGACCTGCGAGGTTGCCGAGCGAGTCCGGCAGGCACGGCAGCGCGTTGCACGACAGCAGCCGCAAATCGCGGAGCGTACTTAATCTCCCCCGGGAGACTTCCGGAAAGAGCTTTAAACTCGGCGCTTCGAGCTGCAGCCGGCGCAGCGCGGAAAGATCGAGGAGCGACGCGGGGAGTGCTTTGATGTTCGGCGCGCAGTGCACGCTCACGTGCTCGAGCCGCCGGTAGCCGCGAAACACGCTCGCGAGACCCGCCTCGCTCACCGCGTCGACGAGCGGCGGCCGAACCGGCAGCCGAACCTTGCCCAGGAAGAGGTACGTCATGTTCGGGCATGCCAAGCCTAGGACGCACAGGAAACGATCATCGATGAAGTCAATCGTGTGGCTGTCAAGGTGCAGGCGAGTCAGGTTCGGAAACTTGCGCAGCGCTTGCTCGAGCCGGCGGGAGAGGAGCTCGTGCTTGGGGGAAAAGGAGGCGGCGGAGGAGGCGGCGGAAGAGGCGGAGAGGACTGTGAGGGAGGCGACGCGGGACCAGCGCTTGCAGACCAGAGCCACTTGGTACGGCGGGCGAGAATCGCCGGTGCTTATATCGGATGTGCTTGTATCGGATGCGGTGGGATTGGCGGCGAGGACTAGGCGGAGGATGGAGGTGAGAAGGTCGTCGGATAGCGAATGGATTGGAGAGGCGGAATCGTCGTCGGGAGACTCGGCGACGGCGCACGATGAGCGAGAATCCATTGCCTGGCCGATTCGCCGTCGCTTGGATAACTGCGGCATCGCCCAGCTGATTCAGTCGTCGCTCGGCTATTTTGGGCGTTGCTCGGCCGGCCATCTCGTGGCTACCTGAGCGAGCCTGGGCAAGGCGAGAGGCGAGAGCTGGGAAGCGAGCCAATGCCTGCCTTCACATACAACTTACTTAGTGTCGCGTGCATGTGGAAATAATAGGCTATAGTAGTCTATCTGTCTGATGAGGCCTTTGAGAAAGTGTGAACGAGAATGAGTGAACTATGAAGCAGTTGGGTACAAGTACTAACCCTAATTGGGTTGTACCCCATATGGGCTACCCCACTACAGCCTACATAAAAGCATAAGATATGATGTTCTGACACCCCCCCATAGGCAAAGAGGGGGAGAACAAGCGGTCACAAGACCAGTCAAGCAAAGCAAAGCAAAGCAAGCTCACGGTGGATCACAAAGTCACCACACATTCCGAGCACAAGTTCAAGGCTGCAAGGCCAGTTCACATGCAAAAGTACATATATATAGAAAGCTAGATAAGCAAGCGCAGGTGTATATATATGTAACAGTACAAGCAAGGTCAAGAGGTGAGCAAGTGAGGCAAGACAGGCACAAGACCAAGCTGAGTACAGAAGCGCTGATGATCACAAGGCGCAAGTGCCTTGGTGAAAACATCAGCAGTGTTGGCCTCAGAGGCCACGTACGCAAGTCGCAACTGGCCACGCTGCTGCAACTCACGAGCAAGAAAGTAGCGAAGAGCAATGTGCTTCGTTCTGTGCTCCAGGCGCTGCTCTCGACACAAGGCTAGCATGGCCTTGTTGTCTACGTACAGCACCGGAGGAGAACGAGGCGGCTCTCCGAGGTCAATCAGCAGGTAGGTAAGCCAGCGAAGCTCCTGTGCAGCCATGGCCCCGGCGTAGATCTCAGCCTCACAACTGGAGCCGAGAACAGAAGACGAGCGAGTAGCCCGCCACGAAACAGAACCGGAACCAAGGCTGAAGGTGTAACCCTGTGACGACCGCTGCGTAGCCTGGTCGTCAGCCCAAGAAGCGTCCGCGTACCCAGTGAGGACCACTGGACTCCGCCCTCCAAGCACTAGCCCCATGCCCGACGTACTGCACAAGTAGCGCAACACCCTCTTCGCTGCAGCCATGTGCTCTGGTCTGTGTCTCCCAGGAGCAACATAGCGTGCAAGAATGCTAAGAGGGTATGCAAGGTCAGGTCGTGTGCAGGTCATCAGGTACATGAGGCAGCCAACAAGCTTTGGGTACGGGCCACTCGACTCTACGGACTCATCCGAAGGCAAAGCTGAGAGCGAGTGGCGAGTAAACAGAGGAGTGGCCTGAGGCGAGGAGTACGTGAAGCCGAAGCGCTGAAGGACCTGCTGCACCATGTGTGACTGAGTCAGGGTAATGGTGCGGCGTGCTCTGTCCCGAGTGATCTGCAAGCCAAGGTAGCTGCGCAGTTCACCCAGGTCTGTGCACGTGTGTCTCTTCTGCAGCTCGGACTTCACGTGGGCGAGTCCAGTAGTGTCAGCTGTGGCAAACACCAAGTCGTCGACGTACACGAGGATGAAGAACGGCGGCAGAGAGGTGTCGATGCGTAGAAACAGCGACGGGTCAGCAGTAGAGGGAGCAAACCCAAGAGCCGCAAGTGTAGTCCTCAGTGTGTCGTGCCACTCGCGCGGTGCCTGGCAGAGACCGTAGACTGGCCGTCGGAGGCTCCACTAGGTGCCAGGAGGGAAAGTCCCAGTGAAGCCAGGGGGACGGCGCAACCAGATCTCCTCGTGAAGGCTACCCTGCAGGAAATCAGTGCTGAAGTCAAGGGAGTGAAGCTCGTAGTCAAGCTGAGCGGCTACGTGTAGTTGCACCCGAAGAGTGGTCATCTTCGGGGTGGGAGAGAAGGTCTGAAAGTAGTCAACTCCCTGCCGCTGACTGAAGCCACGAGCCACGTACCGCGCCTTGAAGAGAGGTGGAGAGCCCGGCGGCCGCTTCACCCTGAAGATCCACATGCCATTGACGATGTTCGCCCCAGGAGGGGGAACCGCGTCAACGTAGGTGCCTGTGGACTTCCAGGAAGCCATCTTTGCATCCATAGCTGCCTGCCACTGAGAGGAGTAGAGACCCTCTACGGCCTCCGCGTAAGAGCGCGAAGTCGGGATGTCTAGTGCATCCGGGTCTCCCTCAGGGGTAAGCAGTACGGACGCGAGATGAGGTGAAGCAGCAGCCAGACACTGGAACTCCTCCTCCCTGTCCTCAAGGACGTCCGTGCCAAGAGCACACTCACCCCCGACAGACGGAGGACAGACAGACGCAGACTCAGCAACAAGACTAGCAGCGTAGTCTAGACGACAGCGAGCAGCAAAGTCGACGAGCTCAGCAACAAGAGCAGACGCAGCAGTGGACTCAAAGGAGGGGTCTGTGACGACAGTAGCAAGGAGACGCGTGACAGTAGGACTGGCAGCACGAAGAGAGTCCGACTCAGGGTCGGCAAGCACAGGAAGAGAGGACTCAGAAGGAGAGGGCAAAGGGGCACGCAGAGGAGCAGTGGACGGACGCAGAGACATCCGGTGCGTGCCAGGGACAGGAGGAGGACGCTGACGCGAACTTCGACCATTAGTGCGAGCAGCACGAACAGGCGACGCAGGATGAGACGCAGGCTCACGACGCTCAGCAAGACCTCCAGTAGGACCAGTGTACGGAGAAGGAGAAGGCAGTGGGGAGACCGGTGGTAACTGTGACTGCGACTGGACAGGCGGTGGACACTCTAAAGGAGGAGGAAGACCAAGAACCTGCTGAAGGAGCGGAACAAAGTACGGCCGAGGCCGCGCGGCGACTCCAGACACAGCAGGGACAGCACCAGCACCCCCAGCGGCAGCACCAGCGTCAACAGCACCTCCAGCTCTAGTACCTCCAGCAGCACCAGTAACACCCACAGGAGGACCGTCGCCAGGACTGACAGCAGTAGCCTCAGCGCCAACACCCTCAGCAGCTCCGACTCTAGTAGTACTCGCAGGACTGGCACCTCCGAGACCGGCGACACCAGCACCCTCAGCAGCCGAAGAAGCACCAGCTCCAGTAGGACGCCTCCAGCGCCGGGCAAACCACTCGCGCAGCTCCTGTGGAGAGAGTGGCTCCCGCCGAGACGAAGCAACCGGAGAGCCAGCAGGCCCAGCACCGCCAAACGCCACCCTAGCAGGTCCAGCGGCCGTGGGCTCCGCACCCCCAGGCTCAGTAGCTCCAGACTCAGCACCCTCAGGCTCAGCAGCTCCAAATGCAGCACCCCCAGGCGAAGGATCCCCAGGCTCAGCACCCCCAGTCGTAGCACCCCCAGGCTCAGCACCCCAAGTCGTAGCACCCCCCGGCTCGGCACCCCCAGTCTCAGCACCCCCAGTCACAGCATCCCCAGACGCAGCACCCCCAGGCTCAGCACC